GGATTGCTTCTGGTGCCTACGCGGCTCACCTTCTCTGCCCTAGAAGCTTGGGATGGCAGTGGGGGAGCTTCCTTCTGAGTCCTGGGACTGGCTGAGCTTCTGTTTCCTAGGAGCCTGGGATGGAGGCGGGGAGCTTCCTTCTGGGTGCTGGGACCAGGTCATCTACTCTGCCCTAGGAGCCTGGGATGGCAGCTGGGGAGCTTCCTTCCGGGTGCTGGGACCGGCTGGGCTTCTCTGCCCTAGGAGCCTGGGATGGCAGCGGGGGAGCTCTCTCATTATTTTTTATTTGTTTTGTTTTCTGTTATTTCACTTATGCTTTAAAAACTCAATAAAATTTTTACTTTGTGTATATCTTAAATATTTTTAAACTAATTTTTGTGAATTTTTTATTGTTGAGAAGTAACATGTCCATATTTATTACAGATTTGTAATACCCAATTAAGTTTAGTGATTAATAATTGCATAAATTTGTAATAATTCTTAGAAAGCTTTTGTCAGTTGTTTTATATGAGCCCTCAAAAATTTTAACCAGTGTGAAAAATTTATTGTTTTTATTGTAGTGCTGAGAAAGTTCAAGAAATTATTACTTGGCTAAAAGGACATCCTGTCAGTACTTTGTCTCGTTCATCTTGTGATTTACAAATTCTGGATGCAGCTATTGTTGAGAAAATTGAGGAAGAAGTTGATAAATGCAAGGTACTAACTTTTAATAACGAAGATTTTGATGAAATTTGTGGTTAAATTTACTATAGATTAATTCATGTTTCAACCAGTTACTATATATGTAATGATTTTAATTAATATCAAACAATCTTGTTTACCTGGAAATGTAAATACACTTCAGTGTTCAAAAGCCATAACATTTAAATTTTTTTTCTTTGTTGCATTTCCAATTTTAAGAATTAGTATTTTGTGATTTATGATAGTTTGTGACTAAGAAAGTTAATCCTCTATTCCTTCTGGCTTTAACTATATTCTTTAAAGACATAGTTCATGTTTTTATAAAACATAAAAATTTATCCAGTCAGGTGCAATGACTTCAATTTGTAGTCCCGGTTACTTGGAACGCTGAGACAGGGGGATCACTTGAGCTCAGAAGTTCGGGATCTACTTGGGCAACATAGCAAAACCCATCTCAAAACAATACAAATTTTATTTAATTGACTTTTATAGAATTACTTCTAAATTGTACTTCTGCCCTTTTTTCACTCATTAAATCATTCAGATATTAAAAAGTTTTGAAATTCCACTTAATCTCCTATGGTTTGTATATTTTGAAAAGAAGTAAATTTGTAATAGACTTAGCTATTTAAATCCTCTATTTGGTATGGTAGAATTTGGAATGATTGGGCTGGGGGTGTAGCTCAGTGATAAAGAGCTTGACTAGCATGCATGAAGTCTAGGTTCAATCCCCAGCATCACAAAAGAAAAAATAATAATAATGCCTATTTGCTATTAATACCTGATAATGCTGGGCTGGGGATTTCCGCCGCCTGCCTCGCAAGTGCAAGATCCTGAGTTCGATCCCCAGTAAAAAAAAATAAAAATTGAAAAAACTAAAATAAAATTAAATTAAATTAAAAATTACAAAAAAAAAATACCTGATAATGTTTGCTTATTATTACTATTACTGAATTCTTTTGTCCCCAAGAGCTGTGATTACAGGTCTTAAAATCATCACTAGGGGCTGGGGATTTAGCTCAGTGGTTTCACCACCTGCTGTGCAAGCGCAAGGACCCGAGTTCAATCCCCAGGACCAAAAATAAAATAAAATCATCACTAAATGACTCTTTTTCTTTGGAAAAAATACAAGGTTCATAATCAAGAGTTTAATCATTATTATAATTTTTTTCCAATGCTGGGGATCAAACCGAGAGCTTCACTCATGCTAGGCAAGTGCTCTACCATGGAACTATACTCTCAGGCCAAAGAGCTTAATTTTTGAAATTATTCACTTAAGGATAGAAAATTTGTATTTCTTTTTAATTGTCTTTCAATATAGAGTGAAATCTGTTTGGTAGCACTATTGGTTTTTTTCCCGGTACCAAGAATCGAACTCAGGACCTTACACTTGCCGGTTAGGCACCAGCACCACTGAGCTAAATCCCTAGCCTGGTAGCACTTTTTTTGAAACTAATTTTCCAGTTAGCAAGCAATTATAACTTGAAGACTCCCAATTTTTTAACCCATTTGGATACAGAGCATTCTAAAATGTCTTACACATTTTTTCCTTTACAAACAGAAGATACATATAGGTGTGAATATAGATAAGAATTTTGTTTAAAACCTGTTTATGAGTCAAGGAGATATAGTTGAGGTTTTTTTCCTTTTTGTGTTACAGAGTTTTTATGATAATAAAGGAAGGAGTAAAAACAAACCTAACACAACATTCTGAAGATGATTTAAATTTTTCTGTGTTATGTAGGGTCATCACTAAAAATATCAGTAGTGCCAGTGATTTAGCTCAGTGATTCCGCTGCCTGTCTCACAATTGCAGGTCCCAAGTTCAGTCCCCAGTACCAAAAAAAAGAAAAGTATCAGTAGTAGCCTGGCACTGAGTAGCACTTGCCTGTAATCACAGTTATCAGGAGACTGAGGGAGGAGGATCACAAGTGTAAGGCCAGCATGGGCAAATTAGTGAGACTGCCTCAAAATAAAAATATTTTGAAAGGGCTGACCAGGGATGTAGGATGGTGGTAGAGCACTTGCCTAACATGTGCAGGTCCCCTCAGTTCAATTCCTAGCACTACCATTTCTTTTTTAAAATAATCCTAATAATTTTATTAGTGCAGACTAATTATACAGATAATGAGTTTCATTGTAGCACACTTTGATCTTGTCTGTCCCCTATTCCTCTTAACTTCCTCCTTCTACTGATTCCCTTCCTCTACTCCAATAGTTACCCTTCTACTTTTCGTTGGTTTTTTTTTTTCTTTTTTTGGTACCGGGGATCGTCGAACTCGGGTCCTTGTGCTTGCAAGGCAGGTTTCGAAACCGCTGAGTTAAATCCCCAGCCCAACCCTTCTACTTTTCATATCTTTTTTTAGTGGTTCCCAAACTCGGGCAATTTTCCAAAGTACTATGAGAGCTTTAAAAAAATTAAAATTAAGGGTTGGGGATGTAGCTCAGTGGCGCCATGTCTGACTGGAAAGCACAAGATCCTAAGTTTGATCCTGGTACCACAATCAATCAGTCACATAAATATACAGTAAAACCTTAGTTGGCGAGCTTAATTAATTCTGGAAACACGCTTGTAATCCAAAGCCCTTCTACTAAATATCAAAGAGAATTTCCCCATAAGAAATAATGGAAACTTAGATGATTCATTCTACAACCCAAAAATATCCATATAAAAATGATTACAATACTGTAATATAATACAAAATAATGGGCTGGGGATTTAGCTCAGTAGCCCCTTGCCTGCCTCGCAAGTGTAAGGTCCTGAGTTCGATCCCTGGTACCAAAGAAAACAAAAAACAAAATAATTAAGAAAATACACTGAGTTCGATCCCCGGTACAAAAAAAAAAAAGAAAATAAACAATATAAAGAAAAATAAACAATTTACCCTGCACTTACTTTTGAAAACCTTCCTGGCTGGTGTGAGGGAGACAAGAGAGGAGGGTTATCGTATAGGACGACTTTCACTATCACTGCCTCTCTTGGCTCAATGGAATCTTTTTCTTTGCGTGCAACTTTAACAAGGAACCTATCCAGTGACATTTGCTTTTGCCTCCTTTTGAGGAGTTAGCAAAAATATGACATTACATTGTCCTTAAACAGATTCATCACTAGCACTGCTACAGCCTTATTTGGGTGATGCTTTTCTACAAAATTTTGCACTATTTCCCACATTTTACACACCTCTGTAATCTCATTTGAAGTGAGGGATTCCTCTGCCCTTTTCTCCTCTTCCTCTGCAGACAAGATCTCCATAACCTCTTGCTGTTAGGAGACATCACCCACAGTCCTGCCACAAGAGAGAGAAGCATCATTGGCTCAGTTGTGATCTTGTGACATTTGGTGTCATTTGCTACTTGTATTGCAAGATACCACTTGTTTATCAAATTAAAATTTTTTTTTGGTACCGGGGATCAAACTGGGGTCCTTGTGCTTGCGCAGCAGGCGGAGAAACCACTGAGCTAAATCCCCAGCCCTTATCAAATTAAAATTTCTTTGAAATGTTCTGCTCATCTTTCAGAACACTCACCAAACAAATTACTCACAATCCAAGGTTTTACTGTAATTCTTATTAGGGAAAAAAAGTTGAACTTATATAAAATTTAAAACAGGCAAATCTGGTCTTCTGTGTTAGAAATAAGTTTACTTTTGGAAACGGTAGTAAGTGGTTATGCTTAATAAAGATGTTTCTTGGATCAGTTAGAGTTACACATAGATATTCTACAAATTTACATCTGGCAATGTACTTACGACTTTGCCCTTTTTTCCATACTGGGGATTAAATCTAGAACCTATGCCACTGAGCCTCATTCCTAGCCATTTTTTTTTTTTAATTTTGAGACAGGGTCTCACTAGGTTGCTAAATTTCCTAGGCGTGCTTCAAACTTTCAATCCTCCTGTCTCAGCCTCCCAGAGCACTGGTACAGGTGTGTAGTACCACACTTGGCTTAACTTTGCATTTCTACGTCTTATGTTCCAGAATTTGTACTTTAAAAGTTTTTTAATAAGAATTTAGGTTATAGGTATTTTATTAATGTTTATTTTATTCCTCCTTACGCAGCTCCAGAACTTTAGTTTTTAAATTAATCATTTCATTTGGCTTTATAGAATTCAGACATGTTGAAGTAATAAGTAATGTAATAATTTCATACTTTTATATTTTAAATATTTATCTTTTCTCAGCAAAGAAAAAATAACAAGAAAGTACGGGTGACAGTAAAGCCCCACTTGCTGTACAGAGTAAGTTTCTGTCAAAGAATTTAAAGCTGTTATTTTTACTTTGAAAGTATGAAAGGAACAAAAATGTTTTCAATATATAGGTAAGATTTTTAATTATAATTAACAACTTCCTTCTTTTCAGCCTTTAGAACAACAACATGGAGTCATTCCTGATCGAGATGCAGAATTTCGTCTCTTTGACCGTGTAGTGAACGTGAGAGAGAATTTTTCAGTTCCAGTTGGCCTTCGGGGCACCATCATAGGAATTAAAGGGGGTAATATCTCAACACTTGATGTCTTCAGCTACCTTTATATTGTAAAGGAAAACACAAAGTTGTGTGTTTTATATGTCTAATCAGAAAACAACTATAAATCAGGAAGAAACTAAATCCTTTTATGTATTAGATTTTTTTCCTTTCCTTTTTTCTTTTTAGTTTGTACTTTTCAGAGAAAATTCTTCTTTTCTGTCTTGTGTAATCATCTTGTTAGTAGTTTAAAAAGTGAGAAGTTGAGAAGGGGCTATAGAGAATTTGGCAGTTTTTATATAGTACACTAAAATTATATAAGATCTTGGAGAGTATACGTATCTTTTCATGAAACTGAGAAAGTATTTTTTTATCAGTTCTTCTTAAACTTTCCTAATCTTGCCCAGATCTTTACCTTTTCATTAAAATCTTTAGGTTTCTGTGAATAAACAAAAGTGAAGTCACTTATGGTTAAAAGACTTGAGAAATGTGCATATGAATTTGTATTTTATGAATATAACTAGATTATATTAAACAGACCTTATCAGCCTGTTGCACAGTAATTACATGATGTTATCATTACTGTACTAAATACATTAAAATGGTAAATTTTATGTGCCTTTGCGATTTTTGGGTTTTGGTGCTAGGGATTGAACCCAGGGTATCATGTATGCTAAGCACATGCTCTGCCATTGAGCTATATCCCCAACTCCTATGCGTTTTTTACCACAATTTAAAAGGTCAAAACTGCATACCTGTAATCTCAGATACTCAGGATGCTGAGGCAGAAGGATCAAAAGTTCAAGGCCAAGCTGAGCAACTTAACAAGACCTTATCTCAAATAAAAATAAAATAAATAAATAGGCCGGCATGTAAATCACTGTTCCCTCAATTCAATCCCTGGTATCACAAAAATGGATGATGATGAGGAGGAGGACGACAGAGAACAAAGAAAAAAAAGAAAGCATTCCAGAATCTAAATGTGCTTCAGAGAGATGCCTAAAGTGAGTGACTTGACAATGTAGATTAAAGAAAAAAAGTCAACCCCAGCATAAAGCAGCAAATCAGGTGGCCACTGGTCAGCGTGCTTGGTAGCACTGTCTTTCCACATCCCAGGCACTCAATCTTTTGTTCTCACCATCCCAAAAGGAAGAACAGGCAGACCATAGAGCATATTTAGTGCCAACAATGTGCCAGCCACTTACATATTTTGCATTAAATCTTTGTCACCCCTGAGAGGTGGGTGTAATTTCCTTACCTGCCAGGTGAAGTAACTTACCCATGTTTACATAAGTAAGTAGCAAAACTGGAGTTTGAACTCTGTCCCCTTACTTTGAGGCAGGGGTTCTCCACATTTTCCATCTGCAGATACTGTTCAGGTCTTCTCTATTACTCTAACTCTAAAAGAGAATTTTCTTTCCTGATTCTTTTCTTAATTTGTTGGTCATATTTTCAGTTGCAGGAAATGGAAAGAGGAGGGTCAGGCTCTGGGCTAAGCATTATAAAGTTTAGATGGATTCAGTAAGACAAATCCTCTGCTGCTGATTGTTCAACTCCATCTGCTATTCAGATTTTGAGTTTATGGATTGTATTCCAGTTAGGTTGACCTGAGAAGGCCTTAGGGTGTAGATAATAGAAGTTTCCTTTCTTCTGACAACTCCTATCAATAGTAGAAGCCTCTTGGACAACCTTGTCTTGAGGATTTTAAAGCTGTATCTGTACTGAATGGAAAAGAGCACTGTCATTAATTAATCATGTCTGCCATGGGTCTAAAATGGTGAGGGGAATGTTTTTCATTTTTTTCCTCAGCTGAGTGTAGTCTTCTCAGTAATCTTCTCGGGAAATACTCCTTCCCCAAATAAAAATGGGAACCTAGAAGGCACTTCTTAAGCCTTCAGAGGACAAATTCCTGACTCTTATTAAATCTCACTTCAGTTTGGATTTTTACATAAAACTATCACATTGAAAGATACAAACAGATGAACTCTCCTAGCCTAGTTTCATCTAAGTGATGAAACACCAGGATGGAGACAGCCCCTGACCCCCATGAGAGGATGAGAGACACAGGAAACTGGTGGGCAGATTATTGTATTTGTGGTGGCTTCATGCTTAAATATATATAGAAAAACTTATTAAATTGCATACTTTTTTAGCAAAACATTTATTGGTACATTTTAGATATACATAATGATAACATTTGTCGTAAGAAATTTGTACCAGTGCATGATATGTCTTGCTTCTTTTTTTTCCTCCATCCCCCTTTCCCTTCGCCTCTTCCCCTCCTTATAGACAAAATCTTTGTCTCCATCTTTTCCTTTGATTTTTTTTCTTGCCCCCCCCCACCATGTTTCCCTTCTCATTTGAACATTTTCTTCCCATTTCCCTATATCTGTTGTACATTTTACTCATTTCCACTTTTGGTTTCTCACTCCAGAGAAACAATGCAGTATTTAAACATATGTGTTAGATTTATTTCACTTAAGAGTATGGTCTCAAGGTCCATCCATTTAGCTGCAATGTCTCAAGCTCCTTCTTTATGTCAGAGTAGTACTCCGCTGTACAAAAAAAACCCCACATATTCTTTATCCATTCATCAGTTGTTGGGCATTTGGGCTGTTTCCAAGATTTAGCTATTACAAATTGTGCCACTATAAACATGGGTGTGCATATATCGCTGTAAATTGCATACTTTAAATATGTACATTTTATCATGTCACTTTTACATCAATAAATCTTTTTTTTTAATTGTTGCTAGGTGTGGTGATTCACACCTGTAATCCCACCACTCAGGAGGCTGAGGCAGGAGGATTGCTGCAAATTTAGGGCCAGCCTGGGGTACATCATGAGTTCAAGGCCAGCTTGAACTAAATAGTCAGGCCCTAACTCAAAAACAAAAACAAATTTTAAGTACATTCCATAACACCCAACAATTTCATTTTGCTTCTAAACTAGGGAAGGGTTCAGTCATGTAAAGGATGTGTTTACACGATGTTCACTGGTAGCTTTGTTTATAATTGCAAAAAAGTCAGAAACCTAAATTTCCATCAGCAGAAGAATGGACAAATTATGGTATATCCATAAATGCAACAATGTACGTTCAGAAAACTTTTTAAAAATGAGGGCCGGGGATTTAGCTCAGTGGTTCAGTCACCTGTCTCGCAAGCGCAAGGTCCCAAGTTCGATCCCTGGAACTAAAAAAAAATTAAATATACTTTGAAACAAAGTTAAGTTGCAAAAGAATATCTTTCCAGGCCGGGGATTTAGCTCAGTAGTTCTGGTGTCTGCCTCACAACCAAAAGGTCCCGAGTTCAATCCCTGGTACAAAAAAAAAAGAATATCTTCCCTGTAATATCATGTTTATAATGTTTCAAAACTTACAAAACAGTTCATGTTCACGTATGAGAAGAGTATGAAGAAATGCATAGGAAATGTATAGAAATGTATGCCAATAGGAATTGGACCACAGTGTTTTTTCTAAGGCCCAGTACACTGGTTCTTAGATTACATGATGTTCATTGTGTTATGTCATTCTTCATATCCAGAATGTTTTATGTGAATTTTAAAAATAAAATAAATACTACTGAGTCCTCCAAAACCTTGTCTGCTGATTTTTCATCGTAAGATTTTTTTTCTTTCTTTTTTTTTAACAGCTAATAGAGAAGCTGATGTACTATTTGAAGTATTGTTTGATGAAGAATTTCCTGGAGGATTAACAATAAGGTTTGTATTTCCAGATTGCACTTTGTAAATATGCTCATGTGACTTCTGATTTTAAATTAGTTAGTTCATAATATATGCAATATTGTCATACTTTCTACTATGGATATAACAGTGAATAAAATAGACATGCTTTTTGTTCTCTTACAGCTTTCATTTTAGAGATAAATTAAGCAACTTATTACAGTATTAATTGTTTAATTAAATGTGATGAGTACATGGAAGGAGAAATGAATAATAGTTAACTGGGAAAAGAGGAAAGAATAGTGAAGAATGCTTAGGCAACAGATGTGTTGCATATGCAACACAGGACATTTATGGTTAATTAAGTTAATAGAAATGTAGAGCTGAGGATGTAGCTCAGTGGCGCTGTGCCTGCTTGGTGAGTGCAAGATCCTGAGTTGGATCCCCAGTACCCGAAAAAAAGAAAAAAAATTCATAGAAATGTCCTTTGAAATCAGATATGTAAGTCTTTATCACCCATTTTAGTGGGTTATGGGTGCTCGAGCCAGATTTGGTGAATGGCAGGTGTAGTAATGGAGATAGGAAATTGAGGTGACCCTTGAGAAGTTTGGCTATGAAGAGAAAGGAGCAAATTAACAGGAGGTTAGGAAGCTAAAGGAACTAGGGTTCGGTTGTTTTTAATATAACATGGGTGAGACTTGAGTTCATTTGGAAGGAGCTCTAATACAAAGTTTCAAGTTACAAGAACAAGGATCATGATAGAATGAGGGCACTATTGTGTATTAGAAAAGGTGAGCTCTCTCACGCTTTGTATTAATTTGGGCAGGTTAAAAGCAGCAGACCTTCAATATCTTCTTTTACAATTAATATATTTTTGTTAGGTTATTATGAAAATCCTCTACTGAATTTAAAAGTAATGTTTATCAATTCTAATGATGGATTATCCACCCCAGAATGACTTAATTCTTCTCCTTAGCACATTTAGTGTTATTTCTTTTTGACCCTGATAGAACTTTTTACTTTTAGGTGCTCACCTGGAAAAGGTTATCGATTGCCAACAAGTGCCTTAGTGAACCTTTCTCATGGAAGTCGCTCGGAAACTGGAAATCAGAAGTTGACAGCCATTGTGAAACCACAGCCAGCTGTAAATCAATATAGCTCAAATTCATCAGTTTCTCCTGGCCATCTCGGAGGCCTCAACCATTCCTCTCAATCACTTTTTGTTCCTACTCAAGTAAGTCTGTCAGTCTTATCACTGTGTGTATGTGTTTAGTAGGGATCAACCCAGACACTCAAACATGCTAGGCAGGTGCTCTACCACTCAGCCACATCCTCAAAAGTCTTTAATTTCTCTTTCCCATTTTTTTTTTTTTTTTGAGATAGGAATTCATTATTTAGCCCAGGCTGTCTTCAAACTTAGGATCCTCCTACCTCAGCCTCCCAGAGTCCTTAGATTACAGGTGTGTGCCACCAC